GCTTTTAGTGTTGGAGGGAGAGTATTAGATCAATATCGTAGTTCGTTATTGCCTGAAATTGTTCAAGCTTTGTTGTGTACACGAGATTGGCTTTTTGGCAAAGGAGGTATTAATTATATAACTATAAACTAGTATGTTTTTTTTCTGTTTTTTTTTTCATTATGTGAATTAATAATGATTTGTAATTTTTGGGTTTTCAATGCTTAGCCATGGAGGAAGAGATAGAAATCCTTACTGAAGATGTCTTCAAACTTAATTGTGAAGATACTAGATCGGGACAATGCTCCAATAGTATTTCTCTTGATGATTGATGTGAGGTATGGATGAGTAATTGATATTTTATCAATATAATATTTCTCAATAATTGTATACTTTCTCATAGTTGTCTGTGTTTTTTTTTTTCGTCCAGGAACATTGCAAGTGAAATGTTGAAGTCTGGATCACATTCATGGATGCTATACATGTTGTTTTTTTTTTTTTTTGTTATCTCAAGTTTGGTGTAAATGTTTAATATATTTTTAGATTTTTTTGGGGAATGTTAATGATCTTTTTGGGCATGTATAATATAATGTGTTGTTTGGATCGGCATGAATGCCAGGTCTATATTTTGGTGTAAATGTTTAATACATTTTAAGCTTTTTTTGGGAATTTTTTTATGCATCTATAATGTATTGTCAGTAATTGATATTTTATTTGAAGATTTTAAAATATATTTTAAAAAAACTGTTTATTTTTCTTATCGTGTAAATCATGTCGTGTCGTGTGATTCGAGAATTGTAACGGGTCGTGTTCGTGTTGAGCATTTTCAACCCGTTTTCTTATCGTGTCGTGTCGTGTCAACCCGTTAAAAAAAGCGGGTTGACACAAACACGACACGAACACTGATAACACGACACGAATGCCAGGTCTAATCAATGGGCCTCTTGACAACTTATTACCATCCATACCACAACCCACTCAAGAAAGCCCCGGACATTTGAGTGGCTTGGGCCCACTTAGGCTTGTAGCGTGGTTGGGTGTGCCGTAACAATTTCCCGTTTGGCATGGCATGTTGCTTGGCATGTTTTTCAATTATGATGCTTGACAGGATAATTAGCATGGATTTATAGAACTAACGCATTTTATAATCTTAATCTCGATTCTTAGCATGACGGATTATTTATTTGGCATGGCGTGCGAAATGTGATTCGTGCGTGGCGGATCTTTGCGTGCTTCAAATTGGACCTTTTTTGAATAATGCGTCATTTTGGGCCCAACCACGGATTTTTTGGGCCTCAACATTAGCCCCCTTAATTATAAGGGCCATGGGCAGGTGCTGGAATGGGCCGAATAATTAAACCCAACCCAAAAAATCATATTTGTATTTTTAGGGGACCTCTTCTCTTTCTCGCGTGCAAAAATGACGGCGTGCCATGAAACCCAATAGTTGCTTGCAGTTTCCCAATGCCAACTGCTCTCTTCTCCCTTTTTATTATTATTTTATTTTATTTTTTATATTTCCTTTTCCCTTTGCTTCCTTGTTCCACGCACCAGACCAAAACCTCCTTCATTACTCTTTCCTTCGTTTTCCTTCGTTCTCCCACGAACTCAGACCAAGTGAGAGAGTGAAATCGGGCAGAGACCACTCGACTCCAGTCACTGGGAAAGAGCCCAGGTCAGACTCGACCCTGCCATTCCTTCCTCGTTCGAAGGAGCCCATTCGCCGCCGCTGGAAGGGGTTTCCTTGTGCAGATTTTCCCTCAAAAATCCCCCAATTTCTCTCCTTTTCCGGCCATATCGGACGCTATCCTTTGGGAGATTAACAAGGTACGCTTCTTTTCTTGTTTTCTTCTTAGATTTATTAGTGGATTCTTTGGGCTCCTTACACCCATGGATGTCGTTCCTTATTTTGGTAGCCAAGCACCAGACCCTATTTTGACCTATTTTGCTATTGCCACAATGAGAGCCCTCACGCCGTGGGTGCTAGCAAGGGAGGTCTTGCATCAGTCTTCTGGGGTTCCCTTTTCTTTGGTTTGCTCGAGCAAACAG